CTTGGCGGCATTGGGGGGGGGGGGGGGGGGGGGGAGTTGGAAACAACAACGCTGCACGTTTTAGGGTTTAGGGTTTCGGGTTTCGGGTTTGGGGTTTGGGGTTTAGGGTTTAGGGTTTAGGGTTCTGGCAGAAGCAGGCACCTACATTGCACTAGGCCTCATAGGCAAGGTAACGCGTCCTTCTCGCGCCACGGCTGCGCCAGTATTGGAAAGCAAGAGGCATCGATCATCCCTGACACCCTAAACCCTAAACCCTAAACCCTAGACTCTCAACCCTATAAAGCCCCTTGCTTTAGTGCAAGTGGCCGACTGCTTCTACGTTCGAGAAAGCTACGTTTCAATCGCAGATGTCGTTGAAACCTCATGCAGGTCAAGCACATTACCTCTTAGATGGGTGCCCCCCAATACATTGGCTGAGGCGCGCAACGGACAGACCTAACAAGATCCTCGTCTGGGCACCAAAGCACCCCAAACACCCCAAAACCCGAAGCACCCTAAACCCCCTAAACACCCTAAACACCCCAAGCACCCTAAACACCCTAAACACCCTAAACACCCCTAAACACCCCTAAACACCCCTAAACACCCCTAAACACCCCTAAACACACCTAAACACCCCGAAACACCCCTAACCCTTAAACCCCCAGGATGGCAAAGGGTCCGCAAAGCCTTTTTGCGACGGCGTGCAGGCACAACTACACTTGGTCCAGCACCTCCTAGGAGGTCTGAATTGACGCGCCGCCCTTCGGTTTAGGGTTTAGGGTTTAGGGTTTAGGGTTTAGGGTTTAGGGTTTAGGGTTTAGGGTTTAGGGTTTAGGGTTTAGGGTTTAGGGTTTAGGGTTTAGGGTTTAGGGTTTAGGGTTTAGGGTTTAGGGTTTAGGGGGTTTAGGGTTTAGGTTAGGGTTTAGGGTTTAGGGTTTAGGTTTAGGGGTTAGGCTGTTTTCCTAGCCCAGCGCGTTCTTGTGTTTTGGGGGGGGTGTTTGGGGCTTAGGGTTTAGGGGTCTAGGGGTCTAGGGGTTTTGGGGTTTAGGGGTTTTTAGGGTTTAGTTTAGGGTTTAGGGGTTTAGGGGCTTAGGGGTTTAGGGGTTTAGGGGTTTAGGGGTTTAGGGGTTTAGGGCTTTAGGGCTTTAGGGCTTTAGGGCTTTAGGGGTTTAGGGGTTAGGGCTTAGGGGTTTAGGGGTTTAGGGGTTTGGGGTCAGCAGAGCCCAAGGCTCTTAAGAGGCAAGTTGGGGGAAGAAGACCGGAAGCAAGAGAGCGGCAGCGCAACGGTGGAAGGTAAAGAGCCTGTGGCGGAAGTCGTCCACGCCCTAAACCCTAAACCCTAAACCCTAACCCTAAACCCTAAACCCTAAACCCTAAACCCTAAACCCTAAACCCTAAACCCTAAACCCTAAACCCTAAACCCTAAACCCTATAAACCCTAAACCCTGAACCCGCCTCTCAGGTGCCCTTCTTCCGCTTCGGCGACCGGCTGCGCTTGGACTTCTTCTTCGGAGCCGGCGCTGGCTCCATTGACTCGCTGGGCGCTTGCTCTGCGACGGGCTTCTTCTTGCCCTTCTTCTTGCCCTCCTTCTTGCCCTCCTGAGGGTTTAGGGTTTCGGGTTTAGGGTTTAGGGTTTAGGGTTTAGGGTTTAGGGTTTAGGGTTTAGGGTTTAGGGTTTAGGGTTTAGGGTTTAGGGTTTAGGGTTTAGGGTTTAGGGTTTAGGGGGCGAGCCCTAGAATGCCGAAGGCAGCCCAGCGCCTGAAACGGGAAGACCTGGCATTTCGGGAGGCAACCCTAAACTCTTGCGATCCCTTACAGTAAACTCCAGAAAGTTGCAATGGAAGGACGATTAGAGCTGGATTCCCGAAACACCTGTGGGGGGTATGGGGATATGGATGTTCCAACTTTTGGGAGTTTACTGCAGGACGCTGCGTAGTCCGAATCTTCAACCCACCACGGCCCTACACTCGGGTTTTGCTCCGCGGGGTGGTTCAGGGTCTTGAGGCGTTTCGGGGTTTAGGGTTTAGGGTTTAGGGTGTTGGGTTTTGGGTTTAGGGTTCAGGGTCTTGGGACGTAAAAAGCATCGCACTGCCCGAACAAGGTACCAGCTCAGGCAGTCTCTAAGGAAAACTTCGAAAGTATGGGTCCTTGTAGGGGGGGGTTACTTCTATATCTGGGAGTATACTGGGTGACTGGTTCTCTCGCCGATAAGAACACAGCCATGTTAGAAGAACGGCTACAAGCAAAAGCCCCGCATGAATATATTGTACGCATCTCTTTTATCCTCCAACCCGTGCATGGATTAGCATGTTTCATGTCATGTGGGATCGTTGCTGCATTGATATCATGCAGTGTCACAGACATGCACATGTAACTTGTGAACGTGAGCGAGGAATACCAGAAGATACATTGGGCCCTAAGCCGTTTCTAGATCTAAACCGGAGCACACGGGCCCACTCACCCTTGAAGGACGTTTACAAACCCAGAAACCTAAACCCTAAACCCCAAACCCCAAACCCTAATCCCTAAACCCTAAACCCCAAACCCCAAACCCTAAACCCTAAACCCCAAACCCCAAACCCTAAACCCTAATCCCTAAACCCTAAACCCCAAACCCTAAACCCTAATCCCTAAACCCCTAACCCCTAAACCGTAAACCCTAAACCCTAAACCCTAAACCCTAAACCCTAAACCCTAAGCCGTCCTTGGGCTTCTTCGTCTTCTTCTTCGGCTCTGGCGGTGGATCCGGAGCCTCCTCAGGGACCATGGAGGGGTCCTCGCAGGGAAAGACTGAGGTTTAGGGTTTAGGGTTTAGGGTTTAGGGTTTAGGGTTTAGGGTTTAGGGTTTAGGGTTTAGGGTTTAGGGTTTAGGGTTTAGGGTTTAGGGTTTAGGCTTTGGGGTTTGGGGTTTGGGGTTTGGGGTTTAGGGTTTGGGTTTAGGGTTCAGGGTTCAGGGTTCAGGGTTCCGGGTTTAGGATGGAGAGTTGGGGTTCCTGCATCGGCTTAGGCATAACATACCCCTGAACCCGAAAACCTAAACCCGAAACCTTACCCGTAAACCCTCAACCCTGCACCCTAAACCCTCTATAGTTAAAGTTTAGATGAGAATTTAGATGCTTGAAGTTCAGGGCTTACTAACTTATGGATCAACTTCAGGCTTTCGATTTCTAGGGCTTTGGAGGGAATGGGCTTGTCGGGGTCGAGGGAAACTTGCTTAGGCTTCAGGGCGTTCAGGGTTCAGGGTTTCGGGTTTAGGGTTCAGGGTTCAGGGTTTCGGGTTTAGGGTTCAGGGTTCAGGGTTTAGGGTTTAGGGTTTAGGGTTTCGGGTTCAGGGTTCAGGGTTCAGGGTTTAGGGGTTTAGGGTGTAGGGTGCAGGGGTCTACTTAGGGCTAACTCCTGAACCATGGAGCCCACAGAAGCGCGCGCCCAAAGAGACCCTCGCGTCCTTCTGCGTCCAGTGGGACGGAGCCATCGACGGAACAGGGCTGCGGCGCACCGTTGCTGTCTCGATGGTCGGAGACCTCGGGGGGGGGAGGGCGCAGGGATACGACAAACTGCCGAAACTCCCTAAGCTCCCGAAACCCCCTAAACTCCCGAAGCTCCCTAAACTCCATAAACTCCCTAACCCTAAACCCTAAACCCCCTAATCAGAGGGTTTAGGGAGCTGGGGGCTCCGGACCTCATGTTTAGGGCTTGGCCCAGTCTCTCTTCCTCCCCCTCAACCCTCAACCCCAAAACCCTAAACCCTAAAAACCCTTCCTGAAGATATCACAGGACGCCATAGTCTCTTACGATAAGAACCCATGTTTAGGATTCAGGGCTTAGGGTCTTGAGTGTTGGATTTTGGGTTTTGGGTTTTGAGTTTTGAGTTTTGGGTTTTGGGTCGTGGGTTGCGGGTTTGGGCTTTGGGCCCTGCAAAGCCAGGGCACGGCGCAGCATAGTGCGAGGGAGATTGGCGAGGATGCAAGGAGACGCGCTTGGCCTGTTTCGCCTTCTTCGGGGCGGGTTCAGGGTTTTGGGCCTGCCATGGAGCGCTTCAGCCCTTCCAGGGCTTTGAGGGTCTCGGGCGGCTGACCAGCTTGCAGGGAAGGCTGGCTAGACTTCTTTCGGATTCTCTAAGTCTCTAAGGCCCTTATATACCCCTTGTATGCCGTAGACAAATTCGGGGCCCGTACATCAGAGCCCTTTGTGCCTCAGAGATTCCACCTCTGCCTCAACCCTGAGCCTAAAGCCTCATGTAAGCCGCCTTGTAACATTGAGTCCCCAAACCCTAAACCCTTAAAGGGGTGCCTTTTTCCTCTCCTTCTTCTCCTTCTTCTTCCGCCGCCGCTCTGCTTCCGCGCTCTCGGCGGAACAGGAGCTGGCCCAGTCGATCGCGTGACGCCTTTTGGGCTCACGGGTTTAGGGTTTAGGGTTTAGGGTTTAGGGTTTAGGGTTTAGGTTATGGTTTAGGGTTTAAGAGCCGCTTTTCCCAAGAGAATGCCAGGGCCAGAGCTCGGGGAGGGAAGGGAAGGGTTTGGGTTTAAGCCCTAAACCCAAAACCCGAAACCCTAAATGCCAAACCCTAAACGGCACGCCCTGACCCTAACCCTGAACCCTCAACCCTAAACCCTGACCCTAAACCCTATACCCCAAACCCGAAGCCCCAAACCCCAAACCCCAAGCCCCAAACCCTAAACCCCATACCCTAAACCCCAAACCCTAAACCCCAAACCCTAAACCCTAAACCCCAACTACCCACATACCCCGCGCCTACGTCTCTTTCGCTTGACTTGCACGCCGGGCTCCGAGATGGGCGACACACTCCTGGCACAGCAGCTTAGATTCTGAGCTAAGACCTTGATTGATTACGCCCTAACCCCTAACCCCCTAACCCCTAAACCCTAAACCCTAAACCTTAAACGCGAAACCCTAGACCCTAAAGCCTAAACCCTAAACCCTAAACCCTGCTAAGCCCTAAATAAACACCTAGGCCCTCCCAATCCCAGACCTTTTGGAGCATGCAAAAAGAACACAA